GACTGCCGCATGTAGCCACGGGCAGTTAGTTTGGACTAGGGGCATTTAAAAATGGTGCCTGGTCGGGAAGATGCAAATAAAGCCCGGGATATTTAAATCCTGGGCTTCAATTACAACTTCGAATGCCTACATTAGCCTCCCTAGTTCGAACTCGGGGGCCAATGTAGACATAGCCTTAGAGACTGGCTGATCAAGAAGTAGGACTGAGCGGATTTATAAGCTCTAAAGTTTTATTTTTTTTTATTTTTGAGTGCAGTTATGTAAAAATCTCCATTTATAAGTTGCACTTCCACAACAAAGAGATCCCACTATACTATTTATATGAATTAAATTAAAAGATGCTATTTCCTTTTTAACATTTTTACAGTTCAAATATTTGTAATATTGAGCACTGTGCACTTTGTAGTCTGTGTTTTAATAAAAATGTAATAAAACTTCCAAAAATATTTAATACATTTCAATTGGTATTTAATGGCTTAACAGTGTGATTAAACCTGCAGTTAATCACAATTATTTTTTAATAATAATTTTTTGAATTAATCGCATGAGTTAACTGAAGTTAATCAACAGCCCTAACAGAAATATTAAAGAAATTGCAAGCCCTGCCTAAGAATAAGAATTTACAAGTTTGACTAATGATTGGCAAATCCCAAACATTTTTGTTTTCAGTTCAGTTAAGTAGAACCTAAAGAAGTCAAATTCTTCTCTCAGCTACCATGAGATAAGAGTTCAGCCCTGCAACCATTCCTTAAACTAATCATTATTACTACAGGCCCAATTCCGCTGTGTGCCACTGAGGACTTTCATTCAAGTCAATGTAACTGAGGACTTTAGGTACCTTGCAGAATCAGGTACATAGTCCCACTTGAATCCAAGTAGAGTATTTAACCCAGAAAAGGCACCTGAAGTGACTACTGAGAGCATTTTCTTTGTAAAGTAGATGTCTCTCGTGCGAAACTATTATATAGCTCACTAGCTGGACTTACCTGGTATTGCTTGGGAAACTGGAGGAACAAAATTTAGGAAATTTAGGAAAAGAGGGTACCCTGAGCCAGGGGACCCCCAGAGCCACAGACCCTGGGGGCTGATGTCTCCTGGCCCACATATGACCCTGTGAGAACAATAGGACCCTCCTTCCCCCAGGACCGAGCAGCCAGCCCCCAGGAGAACAGTACAGGCAGTCCCAGAGTTACGCGGATCCGACTTATGTCGGATCCGCAGTTACGAACGGGGCCCTCCCTCTCCCTGGTCTCCAGCAGACCAGGGAAAGGAAGCAAAGCGGCGGAACACGCGGGCAGCGGACAGCCCAGACGCGGGGGGACGGGGAGCAAAGCAGAGCAAAGCCATGGAGCCCGAGGGCAGCAGGATAGCCACGGCGCGTCTGGGCTGCCCCGCTGCCCCCGTGCTCCGTGGCCTTGCTCCGGACGCCTGTGGTACAGCAGCTGGGGCGCTGCCGGTTGGTCCCGTAGAGCCGCTCTGGGCGCCACTGGACCAACCCGGCAGCACCCCAGCTGCTCTGCCCCAGGCGTCTCCAAGTCAGCCGCTGCTGAAACTGATCAGCGGCTGATTCCAGGAAGCCCGGGGCAGGGGCTTCCTGTAGTCAGCCACTGGTCAGTTTCAGGAGCGGCTGACTTGGAGACGCCTGGGGCAGAGCAGCTGGGGTGCTGCCGGGTTGGTCCAGTGGCGCCCAGAGCGGCTCTACGGGACCAACCGGCAGCGCCCCAGCTGCTGTACCACAGGCGTCCGGAGCAAAGCCACGGAGCACGGGGGCAGCGGGACAGCCCAGACGCGGGGGGACGGGGAGCAAAGCAGAGCAAAGCCATGGAGCCCGAGGGCAGCAGGATAGCCACGGCGCGTCTGGGCTGCCCCGCTGCCCCCGTGCTCCGTGGCCTTGCTCCGGACGCCTGTGGTACAGCAGCTGGGGCGCTGCCGGTTGGTCCCGTAGAGCCGCTCTGGGCGCCACTGGACCAACCCGGCAGCACCCCAGCTGCTCTGCCCCAGGCGTCTCCAAGTCAGCCGCTCCTGAAACTGACCAGTGGCTGACTACAGGAAGCCCCTGCCCCGGGCTTCCTGGAATCAGCCGCTGATCAGTTTCAGCAGCAGCTGACTTGGGGATGCCTGGGGTTCTTAAGTTGAATCTGTATGTAAGTCAGAACTGGCGTCCAGATTCAACTTAAGAACAAACCTACAGTCCCTATCTTGTACGTAACCCGGGGACTGCCTGTACACAGTCTTGCGGCCAGTAGCAAGGGGACTTCTCTTTGCAAGGTTGGCTCAGGGATCCACCTGCCCTGCCTGGGCAAGCAAAAGCTCAGAGCTCACATCTAACCCCAATGTCTGGAACCAGACACAGAAGAGGCCCACTCACAGTACAAACAGCAACTGGCTGGCTTCACAGCACTGTAACGCATCGAGGGTTTAACCCGGCTCCTCCGCCCTGAGCTGCAGCAGGCACACGGATTCCTTCTGCTCAGATAGCCCCTTGTGCCCAGGACAGCAGGTGCTGCGGGGGGCAGAGCGGGTGCCTGAGCAGTGTAGGGGTTGGGGCACTGTGTGCCAGTGTGGAGGGGGAAAGAGGGTCATTTATGTAACCTCATGGGTGGGAGGAGGAGAGTCCCGGACAGCGCTGGGGGCCGCAGGTAGTGGTCATGGGACCTAGGGTGGGCGGGGCAGCCCCTGCAGCGCAGCGTTGTGGACTACTTTTTTATTTTTAGGGGCAGGGCGGGACCCCAATTGGGTCTAAAAGTACCTTAAAACCACGGAAAGGTTATCCCATGCAAAATTTGGTTGTGGTAGCTCTTATATTGTCCAAGTTATTAGCGCACAAACTTACAAACATTCTCCTTTATATATTAGATAAGGTGGTACTTGGACAGATGTGGTGGAAGAAAATCAGATTCTCTGTCTATGTGGGGCACAGGCTGGCAGTTTGGGAGGTGGCGGGCAAAGGGTGGGGAGGAGCAGGGCGCTGTCTGTGTGGGGCACAGGCTGGAATTTTGGGACATGGCAGGTGAGGGGTGGGGAGGAGCAGGGTGCTGTCAATGTGGGGCACATGGTGGCAGTTAGGGAGGTCACGGGGGAAGGGAGGGGCAGAGCGGGGTGCTGTCTGTGTGGGGCACAGGGTGGCAGTATGGGAGGTGGCGGGGGAAGTGGAACATCCCCACTTGCCTTTTTGCGCAAGAACTCTTGCACAAAAAGGAGTTATTCCTCGTGGGGAGAGGAATAACTCTATCGACAAAAGCCCTCTCTTCTGCCGATTTACTTGCACAAGAATGTGCTTGAAGTGTGGACGATCCATGGGTTTTTTGCACAAAAACCTGGTAGCATAGATGTAGCCTGGGAGTCTATAATCTTGTCCAAAGTGGGTTGAAACTACAGGTTGGACCTCCCTGGTCCAGCACTCCCGGGAAGTGACTGGTCATGGATGAGGGATTTTGCCAGATTAGGGGAGGTAATTTCTGGACCCCCTGCCATTGGCACCCCCCAGCCCTGGTCCAGCCACTGGCTCTGCTGGGCAACCCTGCTGTCACGTGCTGGGCTCCCAGCTGTGCCAGGCAGCTCCACTGCCAGCACCCCAATGCCCTGCTAGCCCACAGGATTCCCAGCCACCAGCCCTCCAGTGGAACTCTCCAGTTTGGGAACATCTGTGATCCTGCTAGATCACAGACATTGCCAGACCAGAAAGTCCCGGTTTAGAGAGGTGCAACCTGAAGTGGAAAGACTCCCATTGACCTCAGTGGGATTTAGAATTATTTTTTGTTCTGCCCTCAGACATTCCTTCAAGCAATGTCCTGGCCCAGATAAAGTAGGGCGAATTGGAACACATAAGTGTACAGTATTAAATAATCCGTTGTTTCTGTGAGGGCAGATTTACCACAGGCATTTCTGTGCAAAATGTTTGACTGCAAACAGTCCCAATGATGAGTATACTTATATTACTTCATAGCTTTAAACTGACTTTGTTTGAGGTATGAAGTTGCCTGACAGATAAAATGCTATACATCAGCCTAATATTTTAGCAAATTCCAGATCAACTAATAAATGTGTTTTCTAACCATTCTAATGGTTATTTGTGCATAGTAAGTTCCAATTTAATTAATCACACTACATTAATCTTCTTTGACACTTTGAGAATAGCTGCTTATTTCCAAGGGGCAAATCCTGCAGTCCAGACTCAGTCAAAACTCCTGATGAAGTCAATGGGAGATATTTCATGAGTTAAGACTACAAAGCTAATGGATTGGGCCTGTAGCCTTGGGAAAACAGACACTGTCTCATACCTCTAGCTGTCCAATCATAGGGTGTTCATGTGGTGCTGTTTGGCAGCCTTGGTTAGCAGCAATAAACAAACCTCATTATTAGTCTGCAGTGCTTGAAGAGCTCATCTGCATCACAAAAGATAACAGCTGCTATGCACCTAGGTCCAGTACAGTGGATAAAGTAAATCAGAAGGAGAAAAAAAATTGCACACTCAATTTCTTTATGACTAATTTCATTGTAGGGAGTGTTCTAGAATGCTCAGCCTTAACTGAAACAAAAGCCATTGCTGGTACGTACCGTGTAGTCCTTTATAAGGTCTGCAAATTTTCCCTATCTTCAACGCACAAGCTGCAGTTTTAACTAGTCAGTTTTGGGGATCAGATAACATATTTTAATTATCCAACTACATAGTTTGCTGATCAAGCCGCATATCTTATTTACTTGAAATAATAGATTTCCACCCACATTGTTACCTATATATAGTGCTTTTTTAATTGACTTGCAATGCTTTTATTAACTGTGCTAACTGAGCCACATAACTCAGTCACTGGGTTCTTATGTATTGTACTGAGCTGATCAAACTTAAAGGGGTGGTTGAATTTGTGCCATTTGAGCTGCATGCTTTACAAATTGAGTACTTTACAAGTTGAGTAGTTCAGCTGCATTCTTCATTTCTTAGATTGTTACATACTTTTCCACCCTTAAAGTACTGATATAGTTCAAAACCTGTACTAAAAACCACTTGGTACCCAGTACAAATTTGTTCAGCCTTTGCTTGTCTCTTAAAATCCTCATATTCTAAATTACACTGATATAAAGATTCAGCCTGCTCAGGGCTGTGGTTGCTACAGAAGAGGAATTCAGGAAATGAGCTGTTTGTGGCAAAGACTCTCTCATCATCAGTTTTTGAACAGCACCCAGCATATTAATCTCATTCTGGTAAGACCTTTACATCTGTCCATGTGTCTGTCTGTCTAGTAACTCTGAAACAAAAAAAGCTCGGACCACCAAATGCAGTATATAGCTTCCTCTTATAACTTAACACAAGGGAAGGATTTGGTTGTGCCAGGAAAATGGGATGTGCCTTGAATGGGATTGCATCTCATAAAACCATATAGAAAACAGACAATCACCAGGCAGGTGAAAGGAGCTAGCTGGGGGTGCCCCCCCATCTGGGACTGCTCCAGACCTGAGCCTCTCCCACCCCAAAAAAACCCTTTAGGGAGGGCAGGGATCTGACACTTCTCCCTTTCTCTCCCCCACCCCCACAGAACATTCCTGGCTGTTTCCTTCATCAGAGAGCAAGGGGAAAGAGCACAATTTGCTGCATTCCTCACTCTGGCTGGAGACTGCAGGGGACAGATGAACCTGGACCTGTCCTAGCCGGGGGGATATGTACCCCTCCCATCTGTACCCACTGGAGCTGCAGCAGCCATAGTCAAGCACCTGTCACCTAGCCCCAACCTGTTGCAGTGATAGAGGGCTGGGGTTGTCCTCTCTCCTTGGGACAGCCTACATATTGAACTAAGGATGTTAACAACTAGTAAACTATCTGATAAGCAAATGCTTATTGGATAGTCAAGTCAACTAGTCGATTCCCCCCCACCCTTGCTGCCTCTATCAGATAGAGGCAGCAAAGGAGGGTAAGAGGGAGTACTTCAAAGCGTTAGCACCGCATGGAGCCTGGGGTCAGCTCTGTGTGGCGCTGCTTTGAAATGCCGAAGATGCATTTCAAAGGGGCAGTCTCGCACAGCTGATCCTGGGCTCAGTTGGGCTGCCCCTTTGAAATGCTGGGGTCAGCTCCATGTGGCGCTGCTTTGAAATGCCGAGGCCCTATTTATATAGTCCTACACGGGAGCATGCTGGTTTTTAGACAAAATAAGAAAAAAATCGCTGCTTTGAAATGCCGAGGCCCTATTTATATAGTCCTAGAGGGGAGCATGGTGGTTTTTAGACAAAATAAGAAAAAAAATTCTTCCTTGAAGAATTATAATTTAAGTTAGAGCATCAGAAACAAATGATGGTAACATTTACTTAGTGGTTCAGAGGAGGTAGATACATGTTGGACCTCCCTTATCCAGCACCCTCAGGATCTGCCTGGTCCCAGATGAGGGACTTTGCCAGACCAGGGGAGGTCATTTTTGGACCCTTGCCATGGGCCTCCCAGCTGGCTCACCACCTCCTGCTGGCCCCACTGGGCAGCCATCCACGAGGCAGCCCGGCACTGGGGTTCCAGATAGCTGCGCACCACGCACTAGGGCTCTGGACAACCATGTGCACCGGGGCTCCCTGGGCAGCTGTTTCCTGAGCAGCTGTGCATGCCACATGCTGAGGCTCCCAGCCCCACTGGGCAGCCACACTCCAGGTCTCCCAACCCCACTGGTCAGCCCCGCCACCACGCACTGGGCAGCCCCACCATCAGCTCCATGCAAGCAGCCAACTGCCCTGCCAGATCCATAAGTATCCTTACTGCTGGCCCTCCTCCAGGACTCTCTGGTCCTGCAACATCCAGCTGGACCATGGATGTTGCCGGGCCAGAGAATCCTGATTAAGAGAGTTTCAACCTGTATTAAAAATAAAGGTAGAAAAAAAATATTTCTTGAGGGGAAATTATTTACATGAATTCAGATTAGATGCAATGTGGCTATGTAGCTTTCTTTCTGGTACAGAATTTTGCAGTAGAAAGCTTCAGACAGATCCTCAGTTTTTAGAGGTGGGGGTGGGACTGGTTGTTAAGGGACAGTAGTGACTATCTAGCTAAGGATGATTGATATTCTATTGTAAGCGTTATTTTGATGTCACCCTCTCCAACTTTTGATCTGAGTAAAAATAAAAAGTTAATATAAATTTAGGAGAACAGGTTTTACAGATACTTCCATAATCTGGGGCTATCTAGTTTTCACACGCTATTTAATCATAAACTAGCTCTTTTCAAAAGACTACTTTAGTATTTCATGAATTTTTGTCTCCATTTTCTCAGCCTAGGATACAGCTTTAAATTTCTCTCCCCTCCCAGAGGGAATTGGGTGTGTACTCTCCAGCAATAAAATATTTTAAAAGAGAGAAATAACAAATTACCGTAACTTTCACATAATCTACCACTGGCCTATAAAGAGATAAATGCCAAGTAATGTTCTCTTCCATCTCCTCAGTTCTCTCCAGAACTATTCTCAGCTTCATCAAGCTTCCATGATCCCCAAATATCTCCAGTCTTTGTTGTCTTTATTTCCCTCTTTCCATGTCCTTTCTGCTGCAAGATGGCTAATCCTGTCACCTTCATGCCCATCGTCCCAACACCCACTAAAATGTCACACACCTACTAGTCAGTATTCCAATACTAATAAGACTCATTGAACTTCCACAATATATTGCAGAGAATCAATTTTTTTCTTGTAAATTAAAAATGTAAACCAATAATCTCTATTATATAAGCTAACATCTGGTCCTTTGTGTTCACAATATGATTCTGTAGTTCTTTCCCACAAGGCTTGAATTTATCAAGTACTGAGGCATACACATTGCATAAAAATCAAGAAATAGCAAATTGAATGTTCACCTTTCATGCTCAGCTCTGCAGTAAAAACGATTCAATTTCACTGTCAAATACATTAGGGAGAAAAAGTACAAAATAGAGATAAATCAGATTAACACTTTCAAAGATAAATGGTATTTCAACCAAATTTAATCTTACATTGGCAAGGTGCAAACTCATTTCAAAACATCTACTGTACAAGGGATACTCAGAAGGGTACTAGTTATAATCATTTTGTAATTGCATTAGGGTGGGGAGTTTCAGCTAGACTCATGGGGCAATGGAGCAATTTAGATCTGAGGTTATGATCTGGAATTCCAGTATCTAGCCCAATTGAGTTTAACCATAAAAGTTGTTTATTCCTTCTACTCAAGCTAGTTTATGCCTCTACTCTTAACAGGAAATGACTCTCCATGACTCTTGCTTGTTAAAAAAGAACAAAAATGAAGGAAGAAAGATGAAAAGGAGATAAAAATTATACAAAGTACAAACCTGATACTAATAGTTTCCAGGTAAGCCAGTTGTAGATCTTGTATCCCAATCCAGGAAAGCACTTAGAAATTTAAATTTAACTATGCGAGTAGTAATCACACTGAATTCTACACTATGCACAAGCCTGATCCAATACCCACTGAAATGGACAGGAGAATTCACAAAGGCAGCCGTGGGCTTTGGATTGTGCCCCATATGTTTAAAATTAAATATGTGTTCACATGATTCGCTAGATCAGGATCCTCATGCTTAACATCTGTCAGAGTCAGGCTCCAGGACTGTATAAACAGGAATTTTGGGTTAAATTTGTTAGTCATAATGGAATGCCACCTCACTGAAATCAAAGCATGTATTTAACCCACTGACTTTAGTAGGGCTGTACAAGAGAAGCTGGTTCAATATTTGTAGGGCTAAATCTGATGAAACAGCTTTGAACCCTATCTGTAAATCTCTTGGGGTACGTCTAGACTACATGCCTCTGTCGCCAGAGGCATGTAGATTAGGCTACCAGACATAGGAAAATGAAGCGGCGATTTAAATAATCGCCGCTTCATTTAAATTTACATGGCTGCCGCGCTGAGCCAACAAACAGCTGATCAGCTGTTTGTCGGCTCAGCGCGGCAGCCATGTAAATTTAAATGAAGCGGCGATTATTTAAATCGCCGCTTCATTTTCCTATGTCTGGTAGCCTAATCTACATGCCTCTGGTGACAGAGGCATGTAGTCTAAACGTACCCTTGGGGTTACAGTTAGCTTTTAATCCAAATTCCACACTTTCATTAATACTTACCAGTAGCTTGGCTTGGTCCAGTGAGCTTCGCAAACTCATATATCTCTGGTAACAGGGAGGCGAGGCAGACATGGCACCGTCTCCTAAATAATTGCAAATAGTAGTTCAATTTTCTCACACCACATAAATGCAAAACATTTTAAATGTAATTTTTTCCACTCCTGGCTTTTTTACCAAGAATGGGAAAAGAACATATCAAAATTATGTTGTCATTATTTCATCTTTAAAAAATGATGAATTCCCCGTCCCCCCCAAGGTAAATAATGTCTCTGAAATTGGTAACTACAGTAGCTCCACTCTATGCTACCTGTACAAAAGTGAACATGTCACATGAACACAGACAATGAAGATATTTTATTTTTTAATATCAAGGCAACAATGACATTCATGAATGTTAAATTCCTCACACTAATGTATAATTCATTCTGTGATATGACAGTTGAACAAAATTGTATCCATAAATATGTAATGCTGCACAGTTCTTTTTTTTTTAATGTAGTTTACATTTATAAAATAATTGGCTTTCATCCACCAAATCATCTTTTTCTTATATTGTTTTTTAAGTGGACATCAAGAACTGAATTGCAGTTTATCACTGAAGAGATATGTACATTTCCAAGCCCAAGTAAGTTGGCTTTCGGAAATGTTTTAAGTACCACACTCTATGTGAAATTTTTTTTTCTTCCCTTTTTCCTTTTATTTTTGCAAAACTGGCCAGAGCAGAGCAGCCAGGAGAGTGGACACAAACAACGTAAAAGCAAAATAATTGAAAATCTACAGTTAACAGGTTGTGAGACCTGGGCATTAGAATATTTTGATGATTTTAGCTTAAATATTCAACTGCTCTATCTGTTCCTTGGACTGGGGGTGAATTGCTTCCACGATCTGTCACTGGTAGGCTCAAATTATGTTTGCATTCATGAACTGCTTGTATAGGTACTTTACTAACTGTTTTGTTCTCTCTGGCTGTTTGCATGTTTTATCAGGCAACTGTTTGCAGTGTAGTTCAGGTTCAATCCTGGTTCTTTGCAGCAGGTCAAATGGAGAAATTCACATGCTGGAAGTCATAAGGGGCTTGATTCTCTGAAGTGCAGAGCACCTACAAATCAAACTGTAGTAATAAAAGCTGCAGGTATTCAGTTCCTATGCAAACAAAGCTTGTGGTTCCTATTGGTTGGGCCTTGTGCTCAGAAGGATCAGCCAGTACTGCAGAAGACATTTTCAACTGATTTCTCAGAGATAAGTGGAAAACTGTATTTAAATTGGGTGCCATGAATCAACTGGAAAATTTAAAAAACACACACACAGCAATTTCCTCTGGTATCTATAGCCATCCATCTGTCAATGACCTATCATCTACTCTATCTCCTTTGATTCCTGGGCATATAGTCATATGAGCTGAAATTTTTTGGAAAATGTCTGTAAAAAATTATTCATTCATTTCCAAGAACAAGGAATGTATTCTTACAACTAATTCCCTGAGAAGCAAGACCGTGAAATCCAGTGAAGCGTCACTATGGAATCAGGGACATAAAAAATCACACACATTTAGTCAAATTATAAACTCTGAAAAATCTCTCAATTTGCTCATGCTCATTTGAGAGTTGTAAGAGAGTTAGGCAGCCAATTTCTCAAAAAATGCCATCTGTAGTGGGCCTGCTCCAGCAACTGCTCCTCCTGGTCCCTATGGATACGTCTACACTGCAGTGATATTTCAACATGCTTCTAATATCCTGAAATAGCTATTCCGTGTCTTTGAAACAAGCCCGTTATTTCAAAATATAACATGCTTGCTATTCCGATGTCCTTGTATATGATGTTCCTCGAGGATTAAGGAACATTTTGGAACAGTGGTACTCAAATTTGCGTAGCTCAAATTGTGTAACTTATTTTGAGCTAAGGGTACAGTGTAGATGCACCCTATGGCACCAGAACTGAGGGCAGGCAGACTAAGGATGTTAAGAACTAGTCGACTAGTTGACTAGTCGATCCCCCCCTTACATTTCAAAGTGTGCAGAGCTTGGGGTCAGCTGGGGAGTCCCCAGCTGGCCCTTGGTTCCACGTAAATGCCACACAGTGCATGGAACCCTCCAGCTGGCCCTTGGTTCCACGTAAATGCCACACGGTGCATGGAGCCCTGGGTCAGTGGGGGCCTCTGAGTCCCCTGATGCCCCCAGGCTCCATGAGGGAGCTTCTGCTTTGAAATGCACAAGAGCCCCTGCGGGTGCTTCCGCTTTGAAGGGAGCTCTTGTGCTTTTCAAAGGGTACTTCCTGCTGGCCCCGGGCTGCACGCAGTGTTCCGCATTCCTCTTTTGAAATGCTCATCATACTGGTGTCCCGGCAGTCACTGTGGAATGCAGCTAGGAAAGGATCAAGGGTAGGGAAAAAAGTGACAGGAGCTGAGATAGAGAAGGTTGGATTTAAACAGACGGGAAGAGGGCAGGACCTAGAATGAAGTGGCTTAGACAGGAACAGGTGGTGCAGTTGGATAGGAGGAAAGACAGGTTGGAGCACAAGGGTCTAACCACTAAAGAACACTCCTCTGCAAAACCTGGAATTGAGCCTAGGAATCCTCAGTCTCTACATTGCTATCAGCAAATTCCTGAAAATCCATTGGCAAAATGTTTACCTCATTTCCCTCTAGTCACTGATTTATATAAAGCAGGGGTGGGGAACCTTTTTTGGGTCAGAGGCCACTGACCAACAGAAAAATCAGTCAGGGCCACAGACAAGTGAGAAACAAAACAGAACAAAACAAAAAGCTCTCACTGACATGGCCCCTGACTTATAAGAAGAAGGACACTCCCCACATTCCCCTTGCACAACAGAGCCTGGAGGGGAGGAGGTGTCCAGGCTAGTTGAATTTGTGTGCTCCAGCCCCTCAGAAGGATGGTGGGCAGGCTGGAGCACCAGCATAGGCTCCCCAGTGATGCGGGGAGCCCTGAGCCTCAGGGGCCAGATCCAGACAAGCCAGGAGCTGCATCTGGTCCCCAGGCCTTAGGTTTCCCACCCCAATAAAGGATAACAACTTACTGCTACTAGCATTTACTTGATTTTTCAAACTGTTTAACTCTCTGCTGTGCCTCTGAAGGTGAAGTCCTTCTGAAGACTTAATTTGGGGCATTAAATATGGCTATGTGATGGGTTTTTTTTCAATCTGTTTTTGTTAAAAAGTCTCAGAGGGGTAGCCGTGTTAGTCTGTAACTTAAAAAAAAAGAGAGAGAGTAATCCTGTAGCACCTTAGAGACTAACAAATATATATATAAAATCATGAGCTTTTGTGAGCAAAATCCACTTCCTCAGATGAGAGTGGAGAAAAAAGGGGAGAACGCCCAACTTATAACAGAAAAAGAAGGGAGGGGGAGGGAAAAAAAACTGTCGGCTGTAGTGCCAGTGCTAATGAGACTAACTGAATGAGCTGGAAGTGTCCCATACATAGCTTTTGATGTCATTTGGGTGTTGAATATAATGAAGAAAGTATATCAAACAAAAAAAACCCCCTCCTACATTAAAACAACTCTAAGGTTGTAAAAGTCAAGCACTCAAAGTTAAGGAATATCAGAATTAAGATTGCTTATGTACTCTTAATGCAGTCATTTCATGTGTATGCATAATGATTGTCAGGGCTCTTCCCCAATCTGGCACTTTGAGGGCAGAAGGTAGGGCCCTCAAAAGACCTTAAATACCTTGCCTCTACACAGGTTCTGCTTACAAAAACTTCCCAGAGTCACAGATGCACTGGCTCAGGAAAATAGGCTGCCACCATCAAGTGATTTTAAAGAACCCTGAAAAACCAGGAAGAAACACTTAAATTCCTTCTCCAGGAGTACTCGAAGCTCTTCTGCCACAAGAAAGCTTGAAAAAGGAAACAAAAGAAAATACAGAAAACAAATTGTTTGATAGCTGACCTCTCAGGCTAGGCAGGCACAAGAATCAAAATCGTCGCCTTAAAAAGATGACTTTATTACCAAAACCCAAAAATATATCCTTAATAAAACATACTTGGTTTCTACGTATTACAGAGCAATTGAGAAGAACAAATTAAAACACGAGAACATAGTATCTCTGGGTTCAGCTTAGATAGTGAATGTGGGGGAGAGCACATGGATTTTACACAGAGACTATGTCTAGACTACACTCTATTTTCAAAAGAGGATATGCAAATTTTGTAGGAATTTGCATATCTTCTTCTGATCTCACTTTCAAAAGTGGATCTTTCGAAAGTGAAAGTAGTCTGAGTTTTTTTCAGAAAAAACCCTTTTTCGAAAAAAAGCGCTCTTCCTTTAAAAATGAGGTTTATGCTTTTTTTTTTTTTTTAAAGGGGGTTTTCCTGAAAAAAATGTGTTCAGACTGCTTTCACTTTCGAAAACTCTTTTTGCAAAATCAAACCATTCCCAGGAGTTTTCACCAGTAACCTTTACTGAATTTGCATATCCTCTCTTTCGAAAATATAATGTAGTTTAAACGTACTCAGAGAAGATTAACCAAACAAACAAAACAAAGAAAAATACCCTGATTGTGACTAAATATACATTTTCCCCTTATTTACCCACAATCCCTTCACGGTCCAGTCTATTTCCATGCCCCAACTTCCTTGGAGCCATGGTAGTACTGCCTGGCTTTAAAATATCATGTCCCTTCAGGTTCTGGTTCAAAAAAACTCACACAAAGAGAAACAACAGTAGGTATATATTAACAATTTAAATTTCAGCACAATATCCCACTGGTTCTTCTGGCCTTCTGCCAACACCCTTAGCTACCTGAGTTTAATCCTTTAGTGTCTGAGAGCTGGCCAGCACTCCTCCTACCCTTCACAATGATACAATTACATGACCACATATTTTTCCCATAAAAGCCCCAACCTCATTCAGAGCACAGTATAGTTATTGCGCATCGTGGTATAGTAAAAAAGGCTGTTGTAAGCAGGCCTTCTGCCTTATTTGTTCTAGAAATTGGAAGGTATGTAATAAACGAGGCGAAGAACTGAAGGAAGAAAAAGGATGGTTTTATGATTAAAGTAATTATTGCTTCCCTGAAAATTAGATTCTATCCTTGCCCCGTCACAAAATTTGTATGTGATGTTGACTTAACTACTTATGCCAAACTCTTTCCATATCTATTGAAACTTTCATATCAAAATAGAAAAGGTTTATATTTAATGAATTATGTTTCATAAAGTTAATATAAAATAGTTTCATATAGTAAAGAATCACATCACTTTTGTAAGAAAGGGTATACAAATATGTTAGTATTATAATACAAACTCAAGAGATACACGGCACATGACAATAATTTCATATGCATGTCATTTTGAGGGTGAAATGTATAACTTCCATGGGAACAGTTAATTTGCAGATTTTGCATATTAAGTCATTTTAGTTTGGAAAATGGGGTCCTTTATGTTTAAAACTCTAATTGAAATAACGCCTCCCTTTTTAACAAACTATAGTGACAGTAGAGAGAAAATTTCAAAAAAATTAAACTGAAACTTTTTGATGGTTTGTAGCTTTTTGATTAAATGGAAATATAACCAAAATCCATTTCATTAAAAAGAATTCATGTGTTTGTTGAAAACATAACAATATATTTTTTCAGTTGTTAAACACTTTAAAAAAATAGATTTTAAGCCAAAACCTTGAAGTTTTCAACAAAAATGTTGATGAAAACAAAAAAAAGTTGTTTTTGTTGGGGAAAATAATTTTCTGACATAAGTAATCATCACATAGGCACTTAGAAAGCATGGTACGGTGGGTAGGGTGCTTATTCAGAATTTAAGGGATCCATGTTCCATTACCCAGTGTATCACACACATTTAGTTTGCTTGTGCCTTATTTCCCCATTTCTAAAATGGGGATAATAGCACTTCCCTATATTGGAAGAATGTTGTGAAAAAAAGACAATAGCACATTCAGCTATTATGGTATTGGGTGCTATATTAGTGCTTTAGATAAACTGTTGTAAGACTTATAAAATATTCCTTCCACAAATCTAGCTCCTTTGTACATTTATAAGAAGCTGTGCTTGCTTTTGCCAATCAGCAACAGATGAGTTTCATAGACATAAATAGGGGAATTTACAGTGCTAGGTTGTTCAGCTGTCAAAAACAACTGAGAGTCACTAGTTGAGCAGCAATTAAGCCATAACAATAGACCCCAAAGCCTGTCTTTATGCATTTTCTTAACCCTATGCTGATTATCTGACCACAAACAATACAGAAATAAAGGAACTCTATGAAAATAGAAAGTAAAGGTTTATTAAAAATTCAGTATCTTATACAACACTCTTCCCTATAAAAATATTTTTAAATATTCATCTTTACAATATACCTCTTATAAAAATTACAAGATTGTACATTAAACTGTTTAGTATCTTGGCTCATTATTAATAACCTCTGTCATTATTAGAGAAATGGTATGGTAGTATTTAAGAGTAGCCAGCATCATGTAAAGTATATAAGACACCATTAACTCTCAAGCTACGTCTATACTGCACCTCTCTTCTGCAAAAGCTTATGCAAATGAAGTGTGGATTAGCATATTGCTGTGCTTCATTTGCATAATTAATTAGGGGCCATTTTTGCACAAGGCTTTTGCGCAAGAGCCGTTCTTCCAGAAAAAATGAGAAAGAATGGCTCTTGTGCAAAAGAGGTTTTTTTGTACAAAAAGAAGCTGTCTACACAGCTCCTTTTTGTGTAAAAGCCCCTTGCGCAAAAACAGACCCTAATTAATTATGCAAATGAAGTGCGGCAATATGCTAATCCGCACATCATTTGCATAAGCTTTTGCAGAAGAGAGTTCCAGTATAGACATAGCCTCAGCAATATAAAGTGCAGACTCTAAAGACCTCAGAAATATTACCTCAATATTCAGAGGGCATAGTAACCATGAAAAATCCCAGTACGTTTTTATTTTTCTCGTTTAGTGGTTTTCCCTGCTTGTGAAAGGTGATAGACTGGTATCCTTGGAAACTTAACCTCAGGGAAGAAAGAGTATAGCTCAAGTTTGGAAAGACCACACCAAGTTCATCCCTAGAATAAACAGATGCCTCTTCCTCCTTATACCCATGCTCATAATCCGCTTCAAGGCATGAGAAAGTAGTTCATTCCCTTTCCCATTCATTGCTTGGACTTTCTACTGATACTGCTTGGAAGGGTGCCAATTAGTCCCCTTTGTGGTGATGGTGTTTGATATGGGCACCCGTTCTCTGGGAACTGAATTCAGATCATCAAACTACTAGATGTTACAAATTCAATTTTACTATCCATTGCTAGTTAAAAACACTCAATGAACTGTTACTTATGTGTAACACTACTGTTTTCTAGATTACTATAGATGGATGGTATGAAACGTCTCTATTAGTTGAACTGTGACTACTACTCGTTCAGCTCCCTTGTCTGGGGCAGAATAACCAAATTAAACTTATTTACCACATTTTGAGGGCGTATGTGTGAGGTTATTTTATGGTATTTGTAGGCAGCCATTGCAGTGCAATCAGTAATTTGCATGAAGAATCCACCATTCATGTCCTGATTAATTAAAGTGTCCCTAATGAGAAAAGCATGCTCTTCAACACTTTTCTTAATCAAAGCCTCAAACAGTTGCAAAAGTCCCATGGTAGTTTTCCAGCTTCTCTAGTAAGGTAAAGCACTTGTTTCAAGACTTTTAGGTTCATGAGATGTTGGACCTCAAACCTGTCACTGGGCCAGGATCTGAAGTTATTTTTTAAAAGTGGCAGCTGTTTGAACATGGCTCATAGTTTTGGAATAAGTCATGGATGGAGATGGATTAATGAGCAAAGTGCAAGTGAGGCAGTAAATGGTGCATGATAAATTTGATTTATCACACGAGTTTGCCGTTTATCATATTATCACCACCATAAACAGTAGGTGGTAAAATATATATTCTATCCAGCAGAGGGCAATACTATGCATATATATAAACCAGATCGTTACAAGTGCATTTATGACTAGTTGATAGTGTAGTTATTAAGCACATGGAAGTAATAGAAGTGACCCACTCTAATTGTTCAGATTATGCTAAGCAACAACAACAAAAAATAAATTAATACAAGCCTATATATCCAGACCTTGGCAGTTAAAAGTGTCATAACCCACTGACTGGAACCTGGTACATGCCTGTAGGGATATGTCTAGACTACATGGCTCTGTCGACGGAGCCATGTAAACTAGTTTACCAGACATAGTCAATGAAGCAGGGATTTAAATAATCCCCGCTTCATTAAAATAAAAATGGCCGCCGGGCTGTGCTGACAATCAGATGATTCAGCACAGCGCGGCAGTCTAGACACGGATCGGTCGACAAGGGAAACCTTTGTCAACAGATCAGCTGATCCAGCACAGTGCGGCAGTCTAGATGCGGATCTGTCGGCTGGGGAAGCCTTTGCCGACCGATCCCTCATGCCTCGTGAAGTGAGGTTTACAGGATCAGTAGGCAAAGGCTTTCCCAGCTGACAGATCCGTGTCTAGATTGCCGCGTTGTACTGGATCAGATGATCGTCGGTACAGCGCGGTGGCCATTTTTATTTTAATGTAGCGGGGATTATTTAAATTCCTGCTTCATTGACTATGTCGGGTAAACTAGTTTACATGGCTCCGTCGACAGAGCCATGTTGTCTAGACATATCCCCGCTACATTAAAATAAAAATGGCCGCTATGCTGTGTCAACAATCAGCTGATCTGGCAGAGTGCGGCAGTCTAGACGTGGATAGGTCAACAAGGGAAGCCTTTGTCGACTGCTCCCTTATGCCTCGTGAAATGAGGTTTACAGAAGCTGTTGACAAAGGCTTCCCTTGTCGACCGATCCGCGTCTAGACTGCCGCGCTGTGCTGAATCATCTGATTGTCAGCACAACCCGGCGGCCATTTTTATTTTAATGAAGCGGGGATTATTTAAATCCCTGCTTCATTGACTATGTCGAGTAAACTAGTTTACATGGCTCCGTCGACAGAGCCATGTAGTCTAAACATACCCTAGGAGATGAAAATCCTTTCTCTTGTTCTCTGGTGCTAATGTAAGGAGTTAAATAAGTAAGGAGCAGGGGAGTGAAATTACAGTGTTCCATGCTACTTGGACTGTTCTGTGTGGGCATGTTGACTCAAGATATAAAGTCTCAGAGGGGTAACTATGTTAGTCTGTACCTGCAAAAACAACAAGGAGTTTTGTGGCACCTTAGAGACTAACAGATTTGGTATGGAATAAATAAACCCACATCAGATTAACTGGAGTGAAAGCAGAAGCAAGAGTAGATATAAGAAAAGAAGTTGCTTGTGTTAATGAAGCTAATCAAGTCAAGGTAGAACTGGATCATTCATAACATTTGGTCTGGAAATGTGAATATTTAAAAAGGGGAAATTACCTTTGTAATGCATTAACCAGTTGAGCTCCTTATTCAATGCTAAACTGATAGTGCTGAATTTACAAATGAATTCGGCTCCCATTGTACCCTTTGTAACCCGTTTTTGAAATTCTTTTGTAGAAGGATGTGACTCAGGGTGTGTACCTGTGCACTCCTAAGAGTGTGTCTGGAATGTGCATTTGTGCCAAATGGTGTGTGTGTGTGTCGGAGCCGCCCAGGCACTATAGCAATGTGTGGGTATGTTGTCACTTTATGTGTATTAGGAGTTAGTGCGTGCATGCCTGTTTTCTATATGTCAGTTTATGTTGGATAAGATTTATGTCAGTAGGTCGCTGCGTGCGTGTGCCAATGTCTGTGAGCACAGCTCGGGGTGCGCGTGTTGTCTGTGCGCCAACTGTGTGTGGCGGGCACTTCGCCGCTGTCTGCGTTGTGTAGCGGTGGCTTGTCACTTTATGTGTATTAGGAGTTAGTGCGTGCATGCCTGTTTTCTATATGTCAGTTTATGTTGGATAAGATTTATGTCAGTAGGTCGCTGCGTGCGTGTGCCAATGTCTGTGAGCACAGCTCGGGGTGCGCGTGTTGTCTGTGCGCCAACTGTGTGTGGCGGGCACTTCGCCGCTGTCTGCGTTGTGTAGCGGTGGCACCGCGTTATCACCAGCTGCCGGCAGGGGGCGCGCTGGCTCCGGTGTCGCCGTGGCTCTCCGCTCGGGGCTGGGCGGGGCTGG